ATTACAATATTTTGCACATATGGTTGAACTTTTAGCACTTTGTAAAAGAAAATTAACGCAAAACTTGGAAGGAGGACTTATTTCATGTTTAACTCTTTTGAATTATATTACACCATATCTCAGTGATGCCATACTGATGGATGTACTTCATGTATGATCATATATAAATCTTTCTAAATCTCATATTGAATATTATATAAAAATTGATAAAAAATTAATTCATAGGAACCAATTGTCAAAGCAATATTATATCCTACAGTTCGTATATTATCGTCAACAAGATTTACTTTTCCTAATGGAATACTTGCACGTTCTATAATGGCGGAAAAATGTTTAGAAACTCTATTTATGTTTAGCTTACGATTAGGTGATGTTATTACAAAAAATCATCTAGCTGTACCTATTCAACGATTTTTCTTAGCATTTGATAAATCATTTAATCAAGATGTTATGGAAAATATTAAAGATGAAATTAGCCAAAAAACAATAAGTGAACATTTTACAAGGTATATTAATTACCTATATTATTATTATATATTATTATATATTTCATGTAATGTTATTTTGAATTAATTTATATGTAATATTGTATATTGTATATAATGTGTATATTAATTTGAATTAATATACATAATATTAATATTGATATAATATTATATATATATATATATATATATTTATGTATAGGGTAAAAGTTTCAAATGAAGATAATAGAGATATCCTTGGACTTCAAACAAATTTTAATACAGATGTTGCTGATTCTTATTCTCCACCAGTCATAGAAAATATAGATACATCTGATTCTCAGAAAAATAAGGTAAATAAATTAAGGTAAAAATATTAATAAATTTTATATAATTATATATTATTATAAATACTAAATATTAAACACAAATATGTGCGTGTGTGCTGCATTATAATAAATTTTAAATATATATATATTATATATTTTATATTTTATATTTTATATTTTAGGCACTTGAAGAATTAAAAGCTGTATTTACAACAGAATTTGCTCATAAAACATATATGCTTTTTTACAAATGCATCGATAATGAAGTAATGAAACATATATTAAAAAATCATGAACATATACATAATTTGTGTCGTAAATATGAAAAAGAAATAAAAATTTCCAATACTGGTATGTTCCATATTATACTTTATTTATTTTTGTTGCATTTTTTCTCAGAATATCTATAATTTTTTTGTTTGTGATTTTATTTATGAATTTAATATATTTTTTGATCATTTTAAAGATGATACAATATTGGATGCATCATATAATAATTATAATATAGCAGAAAATACAGAATTAATAAATAAAGATACAGCTAATTTTGAAAATATATCAGTTGTGGGAAATAGATTTGCAGTACAAAAAAATGATATTGGAGATTATGTTACTTCTGAAAATGTTATGTTTAATCGTGAAACAAGTTGTTCTTTGTCAACTGGAAGACAATTACGTGGAAATTGGTTGGCATACTGGGAACATGAAATTGGAAGATCAGAAAAAGATATAACATTTAATATAAAACAAATAAAACTTCAAACTTTTAGTGGTCATACTAATAGTGTTAGGTGTCTATATGTATTAGATAACGAAAATAGTTTTATGAGTGGAGGAAGAGATAAAACTGTAAAATTATGGAGTTTAAGAAGTCAGGTAAAATTATATAAAATTATATAATATTATATATATGTTTCAAATATATATGAGACATTTTTTCAATTCTAGAAATTAAAACGAATATAAAAATTATATGTATACAATTACAAAATGAAGCAAAACATAAATAAAATAAGATTGTTTTATCTCTGTCATCTTATAAACTTAAATTGGTTATAATTTAATATAAATATATAAATATATTTCAACTAATATTTTTATATTAATTTTTGTATTCGTTTTAATTTTTAGAATCGATCTTCGAAAAATCCGCGAATAATAATCTATAATAATAATCTATAATAATAATAAATTATGTGTTATAATATATATAAAAAAAATTCTTCGAAAGAATTAAAAATAATAAAATTATAAAATTTATTATTAATTCATATAAAAATATAAAATATAAAATTTCTAATAAGATATTTTAATTTCTTTTATTAAAAATTTAAATTATGAGATTTAGAAATATATTATATAAAGAATTTATATTTAAAATTTATATTTTTTATAATAGGGGGATGGAAATACTGTATCATCTTGTCAGTATACTTATACTGGACATAAAAAATCGATTCTTGCACTTACATTCTTAGAATCCTTAAGATATGTAATCACTTGTGATGGTACAATTCATTGCTGGGATCCTTTCATGGGTTCCCTTCTTGGATGTCCAGAAAGTTCACGTCCAGTTCCTGTAAATACACTGGCTGCAAGTCCTTCTCCATGTACAACTTTACTTGTGGGTACAACTGATATTACATTGAGAGTTATTGATTGTAGAACATTTCAATATGTAAATGAAATGAAAGTAAGTATTATCATATTGTTGTAAATTATTTCATAAAATAAAATTTTTTTTTTGGCAATTCTTATAAATGTAGATTCATAATTTTTGTTAACTTTTATTAAGTCTTTTAATACAGAAATTAATTTATGTTAATAGAATAAATTTTATTATTTATTCTATTATCTTCCAAATAAAGTAAAAATGAACTTCTTCTTTTAGGTATCTATAAATCCAACAGGTTTAATTCGATGCATTGCAATAGCACCTAGCGGTTATTGGGTAGCATTGGGTCAAGCATCAGGTTTTCTAACAATTTTAGATATTCGTACTGGTCTTATTATTGCATCTTGGAAAGGTCATGAATGTGAAGTATGTCATGTTCAAAGAAAGAGATCTTAAACAACATTCAATAATATTTAATGAAATGTTTAATAATCATTTTTTTAGATATTACAATTAGAGGCAATTAATGAAACAACATTAATTAGTTCTTCACTAGATGAAACTATTGCTGTATGGAGTGCATTAGATGGGAAATTGAAATTTCATATGAAGTAAGATAAAATATTATTTTTTATTATATTAATATATTATAATTTTTTATTTATTTGCTTTTAATAATTTAAAACTTTCTAATTTACTGAAAATATGAATAATTATGATGTATAATAATAATGATTACTAAGACTACTTACTACTTACTACTTACTTTAAAAATTTCTAGATATTTATAATGTTTACATATATATATATAACGAAAGAATTATTGATATATTTTTTTAAATATTATATTTATTTACGATATTTATCAAGTTTTATATATATATATATATATATATATATATA